GCCGTCCTTAATACGCTATCGCTTAGACCAGCCTTCTCCTTCTTTGCCCGCAGAACGGCTTCTATGAAGTGAGAAATTGCGTTCCAGGACTTCTCCATTTTCTTAGGCATTCTGTCGACAATATTACTCTGGGCGTGAGAGTAACCTTGTCGTTTCCTCTAGTTTATAAGTTTTTCTTTCCGGTTTGCATACACTGGAAAAGGTGCTGCTCGGCGGGTCCAATTGATTTCCACAGTGCTTACAGTGGGTGATAGCCCTCCCCATGCGCGTAAGAGATAGTTCTCTGAAGTAGCCGTGTCCTTGTCAGGGAACTTGGGAGAGGTTAGAAGTTCACTTCCCAAACGCGCGTTGCACCCACGGCGAGGCCAACTTCTGTACATAACAGTCGGTGCCGATCCACCTCCTTTGGTCCCGTTTCGTTTCCAGCGTTCCTGCCAGCGCCCTCCATTGTCTCTTTCCGCTCCTCTTGTTGCGGCTTTCCGCTCTGCCCCCGTCGCCTGCGCTCCTGTCATAAATTCGCTTGCGCTCCAGCGCCGACAGGATCGATCGGTAATGCCTCCGGCGATCACAAGGGGGGATTGGGGGGGCGTCTGGCGCGAGACTCCCGGTAAGAGCAATGCCACCTCAAGTGCTCCCCTACGCTGAAACCGCTGTGATCCGTGTTCTGTATTTTTTCACAGTCATCCGCTTCGGCCCACACTTCAGCTCCGTACCAAACATCATTGACCTGTTACTGTCGACACAGCAGTCCCCTTTTTGTTCGGCCGTTTGGCGCCGTTATTATTATATTATTATTATTATTATTATGTATTATTATTATTTTATTATTAATCATCATTCAATGTAATCCAGAGACAACTGGAAAACAGTGCGAGACTTCGTGGCTCACGTACTAAAACAGAAAGCCACTATTAAAAGCAGAGAGAGCTAAAATACCATAGCGATCATCTGAACAGGAAAGCTCATGCTCTCAGCCAATCTTCTGTGTGAAGTAATGTCTCAACGACGGTACCGCGTAGAAGATACCATGGCTCATGTGAATCAAGGAGGTTAGGTTTTAGTTGGTATGCCACGCTGGAGAGTCCGACATAACCGTCTTACTGGTATGCGTATCGCATTTCCGCCTCCTCGGGGGGGGAATGATGATGATGATAAATTAAAAATATTTAATATGTTATTTTTATCTGTTCTTTGCTTTTGATTTTATTACGTACTTGGAAGTTATTAAGTGACAAATCATTTAATTTTGCTCAAGTGCTTTGTATATTCTCTGCTTTTTGTTTTTACTGTTTTGTTCTGGAAGTAAGGAATGCTGTTCTCGCACATTCTGCGAGAAATTAAGCCCTGATTCTACTAATTTTTCACAGTATATTTTTTATGAAACAAAGGTGTGATGAGTAATGCAGTAGTTCATAAAATTTAAAGAAGTAAGTTTTTTAAATTCATATTGTTTCTTCTTTACTTTCAGACCTTCTTGTACAATGATCTCTTTCTGTACAAACCTTCTCGCAATGAATGGCTGATTCTGAAGGCCCCAGCAGGCCCTCCCCCTCGCTGTGGTCACCAGATGGTGGCTCTGTCTGCCAACCAGGGGCAGTTGTGGCTCTTTGGTGGAGAGTATGCCAGTCCCTCTCAAGAGCAGTTTTACCACTATCGGGATCTGTGGTTGTTTCACATGGCTGATAAGAAGTGGGAGAAAATTAAGTGAGGAAAACTTAATTAAGACTGACTTATTTGTAATATGAACCTCTTGTTATGTAAGATTAACATCCTTGTCATTAGCGACCACTATTGCATTTAACGGTGTGGTAATTGTGAAGATGACATGATATGGTAATGTTAGGGGGTGAAAGGATGAACTCAAATACATCCAGGTCTGTGGCGTGTCTCGAATCCAGTATCCTTCAGCCTGAGATT